TTTATAATATTCTGAATTTGAGTATTAGTAAGGCTGGAGATTATATAAGGCTTGCTTAATTAGACCAATATCAGCCCCATTTTTCACTAAATAGGTTAGGAATTTTTTTTTTCTACATGTTTTAATCCGTAAGAAAACAGGTGAAACGTCAGGTAGATGTCATAGCATTTCTTTGTATATCCGGGACCTCACTGTTTTTCTTTAGCCTTACTTTCATCTACAATATCAAGAGATTTGCTTTTAATTTCAAGAAAATAATTATAAAAACGTAAAATTTCTTTATGACCTGTCTTGGTTACTTTTTCAAACAAGCAAGTCAAGCTTTGTGCAAACTCTGGGATCAAAGTCTTCTAAATTTTGTTAGCACAAGAATTGACATAAGTGTACTGCTTGCGTCGATATCCTTCCTGTCTTTAAATACTCTAGAATTACCACAGGATCGTAATTCTTCTATCAAGACTTGTTTCCCAACTTTGTTATAGTCAAGCTCGATAAGGTCATCAAAAGAATCATGATGCCCATCATCAGGACTGATTTGTATCAGCTTAGAAGATTATGACCAAACCTTTTTCCGATCGTTTCCAGTGGGAATAGTTTTTTCATCAGATGATGAATTGGTCAATATTAAAGGAGCAAGTATCGGTGGAATCAACATTGTCAAATGGATATTATGCGTCTCTTAATCTCGAATCCTTTTCTCCCTAATCCTTTTTCTTATCTCATTACTAATCTTTTTTTTATGTTTTGAATCTACGAATTCGTCAACCTTCTTATCTTTCAATAATATAGGTTTGATTCTAGATATGTTAGGAGTTGTATTTGCTATCTGTTTGGAACTGTTCTCAATAGGGGATAGTAGGATTATTGGTAATGGTGAACTGACTGACGAGCATAAAATATTGTATAGACTATTTGTACACTGTTTCCTTTATCGAAATTTGACCGTAAATGCAAGTTTTGTTTGATATGGCCATATAGTTCCATCAGTGTACTTAAGGAGGTCTCACGGTGTTTGAATTGATAGAACATAAAATTATTTTTATTTTATTGTTTTTTTTTTGAACATCAATGTATATTATTCGTCTTTTAGTCATTATATACAATATATATATATGTTTTTTGGAAGCATTATAAGCTTTTTGTTATTGAATTTTTGCTTTGAGTTCATGTAGATTAATAAGATAATCGGGAGGTTTGGTCGTGATGGTTTTATGTTTATTGATATCTTCTTAGATGAACACGAATCCTCGACGCATGACGATTTTGCTTTTTTCAGTAGGAATTTTTTGAATTTAAAAAAAAAAATACGGGAACGTTAAAAAAGTAGTTATTGTTTTCTTTCGAATATACTTTTGTCAAAAAGCAGCACACGGTTAATAAAATTGTGTAACGTTTACGAAAGGATTTGGAAGAGGTGCGTTTTTATAAGATCGAATGCTACACTTGTTTAATATCAGGAGGAAGTGCAGTAATTAATTATCAATTTGATTATTTACTTTGATTTATTTTGACTTATTATCTTTTTTATCTGGGCTTTTTACATCCAAATAGATAGGCAATTATTACAGTAGTGGCTGTGACTGCGTTATTGAACTTTTTCTTATATTTTTTTTGACTAAATTATTTATTTGATTTTCTTTGCATTACTATAGAATAAATAACGTGCTACTTTTTATTTAAAATAAAGTGCACATTAAAAAGAAAGAGAAAGAAAAAAAAATTAATTTAAGAAATAGTATAATAAAATTAATCGCAATAAATTAAAAATTTAAAAAAATTTATAATCGGTCAAATAGTAATATAAAAAAAAACCAAATCATAAAAAGTATGGACATATACTAAATATGTCTGTCTACATTCGAGATTTATCAGACCAATATTTTGCCTTCTCCTCATTTTTCGTGATTCCAATCCCATTACGATAACAATATCCAAGATTTTTTTGTCCATTAGCATTTCCACCTTCAGCAGATTTCTGGTACCACTGAAATGCTTTCTCGTAGTCTTTGGTAATTCCTTTTCCGTAATAATAACAATCTCCAAGATTATTTTGTCCAGCGGTATTTCCACCTTCAGCAGACTTCAGATACCATTGAAATGCTTTTTCATTGTCTTGAGTGGTTCCAATTCCATAGTGATAACAATATCCAAGATTACATTGTCCATCGGTATCTCCACCTTCGACAGATTTCTGGTACCACTGAAATGCTTTTTCATTGTCTTGAGTGGTTCCAATTCCCTTATCATAACAATATCCAAGATTGAATTGCCCATCGGCATTTCCACCTTCAGCAGATTTCTGGTACCACTGAAATGCTTTTTCATTGTCTTGAGTGGTTCCAATTCCCTCATCATAACAATATCCAAGATTACATTGCCCATCGGCATTTCCACCTTCGGCTGATTTTAGATACCATTGGAATGCTTTTTCATTGTCTTGAATGGTTCCTATTCCATTGCGATAACAATATCCAAGATTTCTTTGTCCTGTAGTATTTCCACCCTCAGCGGATTTCAAGTACCATTGAAATGCTTTTTCGTTGTCTTTAGTGATCCCAATTCCATTTTGAAAAAGAACTCCGAGGATTATTGCATTTTGAGGGGTTTCCTGTCGGTTAGTTAATAAATTAAAAATCTGTTCGGAAGTCGTCTGATTGTTTTTAATAAAGGTATTAATACAAGTTTTTAACTCCGAATTAGGTCTTTTACTTATTTGATCGACAATAAGTTGATATAATTCGTCTAACGTGTTGTGCTCACTCGTTCTTTTTGGAAATTCTTGAATGATCACCGATCTTGCAGGTAAAATAATGGACTTTATTTCTTTGTCGGGAGTAAGAAACTTATTCATTATATCATTCCAAAGTTGCTTATCTAAAATCTTCTTATACGGTTTTAATTTATTAGTAACATCTTCACCGGAAAATTGAAAATAACGAATAAGTGGTAGGCATTGTTGAAGAATTCCTTTTAGATTCCTAAAATTTTCTTTTGACCACTCTTCGATTTTCGAAGGCAGGGTGGGATCTTGAGCAATTCCCCATTGGATAACTTTATCCCATATATTGACTTCTTCGACTTGCAAATCATCTCTTTTCAGAAGAGAAACTAACGCTGCTTCTTTAATAGAAGTAAAATCTTCTGCGTCAAATATAAGATTGGGATATTTTGCTATTATATCATTACAAAAAATTTCCAGGCTTTTGAAATGTTCATTTCTATCAAATACCGAACGATAAATGAAAAAAAAGTGAGTGCGTAACCAAGATGATTTATATTCGATAAGATAATTTTCCAATTTTTTGGACAATTCTTCGAATTCAAGCTCATCAGCGGATACCATTAAATCAAAAATAAATCTATTGTCAATATTTTCTAAATCAACAACCCCTCCATATATATATCTATAAACGTAAATTAAAAATATATTTAGATATTGTACAAGTTGCTGTTAATTATTTTAAATTTAATTTTAATGATACTTCTTTAAGAACTTACTCACCTGAGAATTACTTCGAAAACATTAGCAGAAGTGTTGGGTTTTACAAAAGTCCTAATACGCTGTTCATTTTCGGCAATTTTCGTTAGTTCTTTTCGAAAGTAAGGCGATCTATAACGCAATACTGCCGAGTGTGCAGTAAATGATCTCTTGTCTAATTCTTTATCAATCTCGAAGATAACATTATAGTCTTCTTTATCGTCTAGTAGTCCCGTAAAGTCTTTTGATAGTTTTTCCAGAAAATTTAAATTCATTTTTTAAGAATTATGTACCATACGTAGGTTCACAAATACAATTGGATATAAAACCCTACACAGTTACACAATCATTGCATGTACAGTATTACAGTACATAAGAAATACAGTAAAATTTTATTACGCCTCGATTACTACAGTATACTGTACTAAAATAACATGTATACAGTATACAGTATTTTAATTTGAAATACTGTATTTTCTGTAGATAACACATCTTGTTTATCAGTAACGACTCGGCGGGTTTTTTTAAATCTGTTTAAGCTCGGCATTCTCTTCTATAGCCTACTTTAACCTCACATTTTCAGCCTTGATCTTAACATTCTTAGCTTTATCTTCGGCGTTCTTCTCTTCGAGCTCAATTATACGTTTTAATAAATCTAATTTAGATTGTATGATTAATAACTTTTACACATTATGTGTGTAGATTTATTCAAAACTTCGAATCCAAATTATTCCGAAAAATTATTAACTTCTTTGCGATCATTTTGCCAAGAAAAGTTCAGCTTTCTCTACTTTCTCAATAAGAAAGCAAAAAATAATTGCGACTATATCATAAGTACATTAAAAAAGGGCTTCCAGTACCCGATAAAATACATCTTAGCATCGCATTTTTAATCGACCGATACATAAATGTATGGAAGTTCACGGCTTCACTGATAAAACATGCCTTCCCACACTACGTAAAAATTTTTCCCATCATCGAAAAAATGGAGAAGCAGAGCCTAAACTAAGTGAATGGACAGGTATATCTAACTACTCTATTATATATTCGGAAAGCAAGTCTTTCACCATTAATCCTCGTCGCGCACGCGTTAAATCTATGCAGATATGTTCACATAGAAAAATCCTCATGGATGAACATTCCGCGAAGTAGCTTCATTTCAGAGCGTTGCTCTCTGGAATGAAAAATGTATGAATTGAATGCACGAACAATACGTGCGATATGTATTAGGTATCAAACTCATAGTATAAGGAAAGGAGGTCATCATCGGTCAATAATAGTATGTTTAACTACCTGTTTCATTATTCCGCTGTTTCATCACTATGAGTTTTTTTTAAAAAAATATTAGGCCAAGCTATGGACACGTCAGAGATCAGCACCACCAGCAGTGAGTGCAACAGTGCCAGCAATTCCAGGAATATTTATCCAAGAGGTAAGATTAATCTACTGTCAATGTTTCCTGTGATCAAAATATTAGAGGCTTAAAGTATAACCGCACTATGATTAGTGGGACTTTACAATATAATAGTAGCCAAGCTACTGGTTGCACTGGCGCGAACATTCCTGCCTGCCAAATAAGTATTCCAGTATCGGGCGTTTCCTGGGATCCACCAATCGCTGCAAGAACACCGAATACTTCTGGATATAGCATAACAGTTTCTAATACAATTGTTAGCAATAATTTTATCATAGACTTACAGTGCTGGTCATAAATAATAAGACTTGTAAATTTATTTTTATTTAATTAAAAAATAAAATTAAATAGCTAAGCTTATTTGTTAACTAATTTTTTTAGTAACTTATTTTATCTCCATTTTTGTCTAATATTGATTCTAAATAGTGAGGCATGGTTTTCACTAATCTGATTAGCATAGGTTTTTAAAGACCTCACTCTGACCTGATTAACTCTTGGATATCGGTTTTTTTTTTATATACTCCTACTGATCTTTTTTTCATTCTTTTCTTTAGAATCATCCATAAGTTCTTGATAGGGTTGAGTTTGATGGCCAATCCAAAATCTTTATATGAGAATTGGCTAGAAATTGCTTTGATGCTTTTGCCATGTGTTTAGAGTCATTATTCTGTTGAAAGATCTATCTATAGCCATAATCATTTGTATATTAATAAGAAAATTGTCTATGAAAATTTGCAATATAAAGAATAATCTATGGTTTTTA